GCACCAGTTTCTTATTGGTTTCATGCATATTGGGTTGGAGCCAGTGATCTGTAGATCTTTCTCTTGCTCTTTTTTTCTCCCAGCAGTCCTCTAGACCCCATGGTTAAGGAGCCCACATGAACTAAGAGCCTCACAGGTCGGGGGACTGCACTGAGAGAGGAGGAGAAGGGATCCAGATTGCCCATCGTAGGTAGAGTTGCCAATCCCCAGTTGGGGGTGGGGGATCCCCCCATTCAGGGCTACCAGTAAGTGGGGGAGATAGCTGCTGGTTGCTCCATTATATCCTGTGGAGACCGGTCCCCATAGGGTATAATGGAGAATCAGTCTGTAGGTATCTGGGCCTCGGGGGGGGGGGGGCTGTTGTTTGAGTTAGAGACACCAAACCCCCCAAAAAAAAGTTTTAAAAAGATTGGACCAGGGAGGTCCAATTCTATGAGTCTCAAAAGAAGGTGCCCCCATCTTCCATTATTTCCAATGGAGGGAAAGCATTTAAAAAGGAATGTGGTCCCTTTAAATGCAGTGGCAGCTCACCAGGAACTCGCTTCAGAGTTCCCTTTCCCGGAGCCTCCCTCCCCTCTCCTGGAGCCTCCTGGTAAGTCCCCCGCCCGCTTGTCAGCCTCACCTGGCAACCCTAATCACAGGAGAGGAGGAGAGGGTGACTTCAGCCTCTTCTCCCACCTCATTTCCACCCACACGGTTCCTGCAACCTAAGAAGCCAACGTTCCCAAGGTTGGAAAGGACTGCTGGGGAGCGGGGAACAAGGGAAAGATCCTTACCACCCATGACTCACTGGATCTTCTCTGTTGCTTCTACATACTTTTATTATTTATAATCAAACGTGCCTGTGTATGCCAAGGCCCAGATTCCTTTGCTTTTAAAAAGGCATCTGTTTGTCCTGTTTTGCTAACATTACTGTAGTTGTTACGATATATAAAAATAAACCAATCTCAACAATTGCGTTTAAAATGCACTGCTATTTGGCCATTTGACCTTGAGGTATTAGCAGCCTGGAGCTTGAGGGCTGGATCTTCTCTTCTTACTTCCCACTGGAGTCTGAAATGGAAACTCTGAAGGGTGGAAGAGGAGGAGGAGGAGGAGGAGGAGGAGATTGGATTTATACCCCGCCCTTCACTACCCAAAAGAGTCTCAGAGCAGCTTACAAGCTCCTTCCCTTCCTCTCCCCACAACAGACACCCTGTAAGGTAGGTGGGGCTGAGAGAGCTCTGAGAGAACTGTGACTGACCCAAGGTCACCCAGCTGGCTGCATGTGGAGGAGTGGAAAATCAAACCCGGTTCTCCAGATTAGAGTCCACCACTCTTAACCACTACACCAAACTGGCTCTTTAAAGGCCCAGGTTTTAAATTCCACTAGGCACAGGGTGACCCTGGGCAATGCACTATTTCTCAGCCTGGGCTACCCCACAAGGTTGCTCTGGATCTAAAACAAGGTAAGGACAGATCCTTTGGAATAGGGCAAGTAGGGAATGTATAACATAACATACATTTCATATAACCTGCTGCAGAGCTGGGGGGAAGAGGGTGGGGGGGAAATTACCCCATAATGTTGTCTGTCTGCCCCTCTTTCCTGTTCCCTAGGTGGCCATTATCTGATTGCCAATTAGCTATGTTAATTTTAAACTCAGTATGGGTTCAAGAGCAGAGCATCTGGGAAGACTACTTGACTAGGATTTCGGGCTCACTAAAAACAACCTTGTTGACAGACGGAGCCACAACCAGTCCTTTTCGTGGAAAAGGGGAAATGAGCTTTTGAGGAGCATGAAACTGAAATCACGGGAACCTTCAGGCAGAGGTCTTAAATAGCGATGGCCGTAAATAGAAGACAGAATGGAAACTTTACTCCAGTTATCCAGAGCCACAAAACATGAAAATAAGCAGTGGTTTTATTTAGTTATATCCCTAAGGGAAGGCATTGTGTGGCATTTAAAATTTAAAAAGTCTGTTGGCACTATAACATACTGTGCATTAAAAAGAAATGTCTGGCTTTTCGTCAGCCATGTTCATGTCCAAATAAGAAACATCTTCTCTTGCCTCCAGAAAGCTATGCATGCAAGCATTCCAGTTGCTAATTTGGGGCATCACGCACTGTGAGTTGCCTTCATGACACATTCTGCATGGCCTCCCTGCTATTGGAATGGCTGGGGAAGTGGTCACGTGCATCATGTGACCCAAGAGCTGTACCCAGCAGCCCTTGCAGCATTCTTGTTAGGGATCCTGGGGAATCGCTCTTTGCTTTGCATGTTGCCATTTCATGTGGAGGCAAAATGTCTTCAGTCAGATGTACTTTGAAGACGACTGTAAAAGATGCTTCACCTAGTTGTGGAACTTGTAGTTTGCAGTCCAAATGCATGCAGTAAATCCCACTGTTAAAACACAAGTTATCGACGTGTGAAGACGGACCTCCCTAGGGAGGCTAGAGGAGGAGAAGTTTCTCCTTCATTCTTCTCCACATCCTAGCTGGAACATGCATGTCAGTTTGCCCCACCCATGTGTTAAATGACCACTGTTCTTTCCCCACTCCACTGCCCAACCCCACTGAGTGTGTCTTCACAATAATATATTCAGTTGCGGCTCTTGTTGAGATAATGGGAAGACTCAGACAGAGAAGATCTGTTGTTGGCAAAGATAGGGAACGTCCCACCTAGAAAAGGCTTTACGTAACTGGGACATAAAATAACCATACGTTATACTGAAACTTATTTGTGATTAATAACATTAAAATTATTAATAACCAGGGGTCATTTCCTGCAGGAGCGCACAGGAGCAGAGCTCCGGCAATAAAGAGCTCAGGGGACGGGCACATGCAACAAGCCCCACCCCCTGCTCCCAGCAGCCCTCAGTCAGAGCAAGAAGCAGCCAGGTAAGCTGCAGAGCTCCCCCCTGGTCTCCCGGTCCAAAACAGTCCAGTGGCACTTTTAAGACCAAGTTTTATTCCGGTACAAGCTCTCCCTCCTCTGCGAGGACAGATCTGCATGTCCCCCCCCCCCAATAGTTAGCAATCCAAAACAGTCCAGTGGAGCCTGAGCGGTGGGTGTTGCCTTCTGACACACTTCCGGTGATGTCAGGGTGTGTGGCTTATGCAAATAAGTTATGCTAATGAGTTATGCTAATGAGCTCCTGCACCTCTTTTTCTATGAAATGACCCCTGTTAATAGCTATTGCATTTTGAGGCCATAGCCACCATCCACATGCAGACTATAGCATGCTTAAGTTCAATAAGGTGAATGTTTTAAAATATATTTAAGATTATTGAACTGTAGCTTGTATAGTTTATGATACATGGCCATCTTAACTTAAACACTGTGGTCATGAAACTGTTATTTCCCCCCCCCCCTACAAATGAGGAGCTGATGCTGAGAGACTGACTTGACCCAAGGGCACTCAGCCCCTAACTGGGCTGCAGTTTGAACCTGAGTTTACCAAGTCCAGTCCTAATACAGGCACACCATACCAACAATAGCAATTGTAGTTATTTGTCTGCAGGGCGTTTTTTGTAGAAAAAGCCCAGCAGGAACTCATTAGCATAATAGGCCACACCAACAGCAGAAACTCATTAGCATATTAGGCCACACCCCTGACAGCACAGCTCGTTGGCATATTAGGCCACTCCCCCATGTTACCAGAAGTGTGCTCATCGAGTCACACCCACCTTTTGTTTCTTATTCTGTTTACCTTGTTTGTTGTCCAAACCCAGGGCTTTTTTGTAGCAGGAACTCCTTTGCATGTTAGGCCACACACCCCTAATGTAGCCAATCCTAATGAGTTTCTGCTGTTGGGTGTGGCCTATTATGCTAATAAAAAAAAAGGTGTAGCCAACTTGGAAGCCAGCCGGAACTCCGTTCCTGTGCGTTCCTGCCCAAAAATAGCCCTGTTTGTCTGATATAATTCATTAAGGTTCCTCTGCCGTGTCTTCCCCAAAAAGATGTTATACTACCAAAATTTATTTATTTATCGAGGCAGTTACTGATAGCTCTGTGGTACCTAAATTGTCTATACCCAATAGATACAAAAAAATAATAGCAATATTTTAAATTTTGTACTTACCTTGGTTAGAGGTTTTTAAAGAGTTATATTGTTATAATAACTTGGTAAATAAGCTTTACAAATACAAGCTATGAATAGTTATTGTCATATTTATATACCTCAATTTTCCATTACTGGCTTATCCTGTATTTGAGAGATGCTATATTGTATTTGTTTATTCCTTATTGCGTTTGTGGATTGTTGTTGTATAGATTAAAATTTAAAAATAAATTTTATATATTAAAAAAAACAAGGAAAAGCATACAAAGTTCTTCTGCTTAATTTCTTTTTCATTTATAATCCACCTTTCTGCATAACAAAACAATTCAAGATAGCATGCTTATGTATTTTTAGCATATGAAAAAGTATAAGCAACAAAATTGTTTGATTAGCCAGTGAGGTCTGGCAGCAATAGCCTTGTCGGGTGTGTTAACCTGTTCCCTACTCATCCATGGCATTAATTGATCACCTTGGACCTGTCACTCTTTCTCAGCCTAACCTACCTCACAGGCGAGTCATCAGAGTAAAAATGTATGCATGTACCACCAGCTCAAGTGGTTAAGACGCTGAACTGCAGGCTGTGGAAGGTCAGTAGTTCAGCAGTTCGAGACCCGGGTGCCGCAAGACGGAGTGAGCTCCCGTCTCTAGTTCCAGCTCCTGACAACCTAGCAGTTCGAAAGCAAGAAATTGCAAGTAGATAAATAGGGACCACTTCGGTGGGAAGGTAACAGCGTTCCGTGCGCCTTGGTGTTTAGTCATGCCGGCCACATGACCGCGGAAACGTCTTCGGACAGTGCTGGGTCTTCGGCTTTGAAACGGAGATGAGCACTGCAACCCTAGAGTCGGATTCGACTGGCTTTCGAGCAAGGGAACCTTTACCTTTACCACCAGTATGAGGTGTTTGGAGTAAGGACTGGATTAACATTCCAATAATTAATAATCCTCTGTTATTTTAATAGGTGAGTCGCCCTCACCCTAGCGATCATCCTTTGCTGATCATCTTCCTGGTTGGTGGAGTGACAGTGTCTGAAGTGAAAATGGTGAAGGACATTCTGTCAGCACACAAGCCTGGAGCACAGGTACAGAACTGTAAGAACAGAGACTGCTGGCTAGGAGTTAAGAACATCCCCATACTAAAGAAGCACCATCTGCTTCTGCGTGAATGCTGCATGAAAACGATTTTCTGTGGTCACAAAAACTTGATTTGTTTGTGGAACTGAAGCTGCCCACCAAACAGGACCTGATGGGGCAAATAACCCTTTTAAAGGGGAATATTCAAATCAGTGGCTGCGGTCCCACACACACGAAATAATTCACTTTTAATCCACTTTCAATGCACTTGCCAATTGGATTATTACTGTGTGAACTGGCAAAATCCGATTCAAAAGTGCACTGAAAGTAGATTGAAAGTGGATTATTTAGTGTGTGTGACAGCAGCCAGTCTTTCAGGTGCACAGGTCCACAACATAAGTGGTCTGATCTAGCAAAACAGAGGGACCTAAAGCAAGACCATCCTAGCTAGGAATGGCAGCAACAATACAGTTAGCATGAAAACCATGGGCACCTGAAGAGTAAGATTCAGCCCAGAGCTGAATTCTGGGACAATACCCACACCCAATACCCATCCAGGACTTTGTAGCCTGCCCCGAATCATTAGAGAACATAGCAAGGGTATTGTCAGGTTTAAATATTTAAGGAGTTGCTTGTCACAATCAATGTTTCCTCTAAGCTGTGGAGTCTTGTGAGCAAAAATTCTACTTTGTGAGCTCCTGGCATTAAAGTTGTGAGCCAGTGATTTCGCTGCTGCATAAATTAGTTTGCTCTGGAGCCATCCTTCCTGAGCGGAGACAAAAATGTATGAGCTGCAGGCTAAAAAACTGTGAACTAGCTCACACTGACTCAGCTTAGAGGGAACACTGGTCACAATGTTTGTAAGGCTCCTCTGACTTTAATCAGCTTTGGGTTGTAAGGTCTTCTCAGCATCTTTCAGTTTACTTTGTGTGTGCTTAGTTTAGAGATCTGTGAAGTCTCTTTCTCAGCCGGTGCAGCCACTAGCGACTGGTTCATTTATCTGAGAAGGATATTCCTTGTATGTGTATTTGTGTGTGTGTGTGTGTTTTCCTTAAATGCTTCTTTGGGGGATTCCAGATAAGATGTTTTACCCGCCACCCCACCCCACTTCTGTGGCAGATACACACATAAAATGTTTGTGCTCTTTAAGTGGAGTGCAAACAATCATGGTAAATCAGGCTGGCTGTATGTTTGATTAGTGAAAATGTCTGAGCGAAGGGGGGTCCACCTAAAGACCTGAACACCTCTGGGGCTGGAGAGGCTGCCTCCGGGCTGCTAATGGCATTCTTCAGCGAAGAGCTCATTCTGTCGTGCCTGAGATTTAAATGCCTTCTCTAGCAACACATTTTCATCTGATAGCTTGCCCCTTTTTTATTTTTTTTGGCATTTAAGTTCTCAATTATCTCCTTAGCATAGTGAATCAGATTACTTGCTGTCCCGGGCAGGGTACAGCGGTACACTAATGGACAAGTTAATCCAGGCTGCAAATGTGTTGCTATGGCTGGAGAGATAAGTGAAGGGTTAGTGACTGAGGCGAGTCAAAACTATGTCAGGAGGCTTTTCACTTAGCTATCGGAGCGGGATGGAGGCCGGACAAAGGAGTGACATAGAAATCTGGTATTGCTTTGCGAGGGCTTGACCCCACCAGTGACGGGTCCTCTTTTAAGAGGAATTCCAAAAGAATTCAGAAGGTATCCAGTGGCTTTCACTGTCACTTGCCCTTTGTACAAAGCTGTTATGCCAGAGGTTAGAGGGCTTTAGTGTGGGAGGGAAGGAGATTTCTGAAGGGGTAAAAAAGCTAATGGTTTTTCGCATCATATATAAAATTTCTGAAACAGTTGGATTTACCTGGCTTTTTCTAGCCCAGCTCTAAATCTGTGGACTGCCTCTTCAGGATTATGGTCTTTTCAAAGCTGTCGTTTTTAGAAGGTGTTTGTGATGCCTGGTTAAAACATTGATGTTATCGTGCCACTCCATTGAAATACTTGGTGTCCTCCCTCAATTAATGTCGGTACCTCTTTTAAACAGTAAGTGAATTAGGGATGTAAAACTGAAGCATTTTCAGCAGTACCAAACAGCCTGTCAACAGACTCTATTCACATGACAGCTATAAATTATGGTAATAATGAGGTAAACTTACTTGGGTTATCACCAATTAAAAATATCTCAGTTGCTTAAGCATATGAAGTTCTGATCCTTAAAAATCTGTTGCCTGATTAATTGGACACTGTAGTAGTTGGATAACCAATAGTCCAATCAAAATGCATTTAATTGGTTAAAGTGACTTGGTAACTGAAAGCTGACCAATGGTTGCAGCCCTTTTTTAAGGAATCAAAGGGAAACAAGCTTTGTTTTTCAGGTTGTGCTGATTACCTGTGAAAACATCTTAAAGTAAAGGTAAAGGTTCCCTTGCTCGAAAGCCAGTCGAGTCCGACTCTAGGGTTGCGGTGCTCATCTGCGTTTCAAAGCCGAAGAGCCAGCGCTGTCCAAAGACGTTTCCGTGGTCATGTGGCCGGCATGACTAAACACCAAGGTGCACGGAACGCTGTTACCTTCTCACCGAAGCGGTACCTATTTATCTACTTGCAATTTCTTGCTTTCGAACTGCTAGGTTGGCAGGAGCTGGAACTAGAGACGGGAGCTCACTCCGTCATGTGGCACACTCGGGTCTCGAACTGCTGAACTACTGACCTTCCACAACCTGCAGTTCAGCGTCTTAACCACTTGAGCCACTGCACAAATTCAGAATAACAGTTAAGACTACTTATTCATAACAATAGGAATATATTATATATTAAAGAAGTAAATGAGAATATTTTACGACAAACCTGCCTTAGTACATTTAATTATGTATGAAAACTAGAGGTTGCAATGCTTAATTGGTAGACTAACTAAATTTTAGTTGGGGACAAACTTTCATTCGAATTCATGCTTCATTTTTTGTTGGGAGTTTTTTTGGTGAACTATTACGAGTAGGAATGAAATAATTATTCTTGCTATCAATTAGTAGATTTTTTTGTTCAACAAACTATAAGGTATATTTCACTTCCTTTAGAATTTCAAAATGGAGAAGGTGACAGTGTGGTGATTTATTTCACTGCATGAATCCTTGAAAGGGGAGGTTGAGTAACCAACTCAGATTGTTCAGGTGCCTCTGATCCAAAGGCTGACCTTCACCGCCCCCGTATTGACAGGCAGCACATCCTGGAATGGAAGTGTCCAGAAGCACAACAAGATAACCTGGCAGCTAGGGGGTCAAAGAAGACGGGGACGGCAAAGGATGAGATGGTTAGACAGTGTCATAGATGCAAGGAACATGGAATCGAGCCAACTTCAGAGGACGGCGGAAGACAGGAAGGCCTGGCGTGATCTGGTCCATGGGGTCGCGAAGAGTCGGACTCGACTGTGCGACTGAACAACAAAAGGGGGAGCCTACAATGAGGCACAGGGAGTTGCTAGCTCGAGCTCCCTAAGTGGTATAGGGGAGGCGGTAAGGTTCTGGGTTCAAGACCTGCAGCACCTCACCCAGAGAGCATCAGATAGTTCATTAAGTCAACAACCTGATCCAAAGTGGGTGGAAGATTAACTTGTGGCTGTATTTCATTGGGCACGCAGTGCGGAAACTGGACTCCATTAAAGAGAAATTTATTTTAAGCAACAAAAAGAAACCATTGGAAACTTGAGCGATTCTAAGGAATTGCAGGTACTAACTGCCAAGGGATGTGGCCAGATACCGATCTCATTTTTATCCCGCCCTCAGAATGCTGTACATATTTATCCCCTCCCCCATTTTCCTTGTGAGGTAGGTTAGGGTGAGAGAAGGTGACTGCAGGCCCTCGTAGAGATAAGGAGAGGCCCGGGCCACTTCCATTTTTGAAGGGGGGGGGGCACCAAAAACATGAAGTTGGGAAGGCTAGTATTTCTGTGGCTACCAAATTAAGAGTTAACATCAAAAGTGTAGATTTGAGGCCCCCTGAGGATGTGAGGCCCCGTGCCAAATGGCTCTGCTGGGCACCCCTTTCAGAGGCCCTAGGTGACTGGCCTATGGTCTCCCTGTGGGCTTCATGGGGATTTGAATCCCAGACCGTCCTAGTCCTGGTCCAACATCCCTAACCACAACTCCATCCCCACATGCTGTACTCCGACCTGTAAAATGTGTACCAAAACTGTCCAAGCTACAAATTCCAAATGTTGCTGGTAATTTACAATGAATCCACTTGTAGCTGCATCAGCTGTAACTGTTTGCTGAGGAAGCACTAGCTTTAGCTAAGCTGTATTTGCCCACAGCAATGCAACCCTTTGTCATTAGATAAAATCAATAAAGTAAGTGAGCCTGACTCCTGGCTACCTCTTGAGATTGTGGCAAAGTTTAGTCTCTTTAATTGTACAGGTCTATATCGGTATATGGCCGCAGTAGCTCAGAGGTTAAGACTCTGAGCTGCAGACTGGAAGGTCTGTAGTTGGGCAGTTTGAGACCCAAGTGCCGCATGACGGCGTGAGCTCCCGTCTCTGGCCCCAGCTCCTGCCAACCTAGCAGTTCGAAAGCAAGAAACTGCAAGTAGATAAATAGGTACCGCTTCGGTGGGAAGGTAACAGCGTTCCATGAGCCTTGGCATTTATTCATGCTGGCCACATGACCATGGAAACATCTTCGGACAGCGCTGGCTCTTCAGCTTGGAAACGGAGATGAGCACCGCCCCTTAGAGTCAGATTTGACTGGCTTTCGAGCAAGGGAAACTTTTTACTTTACCTCTATATCAGTATATATCTTTTTTTCCCCCCTCTTCAGGTAATTGTGCTGTCCTCGGCGCTCCTGACTCCACATATCATTCTTGAGTTGATCTTTACAACAGACCATCTACAGCCGGACATTGGCATCTGAAGAGCAGAGAATCTGACCAAGTCGGGCATCTGGTTTGGCTTGCTGAAAATATTAAACAAAACCCTCGTCTTCTATCCTTCAGGGCATTCTACTAAAAATAAAATCACCCCTCGCCTTGATTCAGCCACTGGGAAGAAATGGATCTGATAGCCGTAAAGAAATTTACCTAGAACATGAAAGCACTTGAAAATCTTTTTGTTATGTCAGTGACGTCAATCCAGCATTACTTCTGTCTGCAGTAATATCATATTTAACTGAAGTCCTTTTATCTCCAGCTTGTTAACATGGACTGTTCTTGCTGACAACTGCCAAGAGTCAAGAACACCACAGATACCAGTTTCATAAGAACACTGAGGAACAATGAAAGAGAGCAGAAGGGTCTTCCATTTTTATAGCGAGTTTTCCTTCACTTTCTGCAGCAGTCATGTCAGTTGGCTGGCTTGCGATGTAAGCCATGAACGGCAGATTTAGTCATAAATGCAGTATTCCCTGACAGAAAGTGGACCTCAGTGGCTTCTTCACAGTCAAGTGGTGCAGAGGATGTTAAGTAGAATATTTGGCAGATTTTATAATAATAATCCATTTGCCAGTCAACAGGCATCTCTTCAGTAAGAGAAAAACCTGGAACAGCCTGGTAGTAGCTTTCCAAAAGGTCTCTGTCTCCCGCTGGTGCTTAGCTAAGTTGGAGATAAATACATAGCTCTTGATGGCTGACCATACATTTGTACATCATAAGCCTGATGGCAAAGTTTTGAGGGATAGGCAGCTGATTATCAAAACTAAGGTGTGCATTGGCTTTGGCATTATCAAGAGTGAATGGTTACCATTACAGTTAGACCAGTAGTTTATACATTTAGTAGAATCGAGAGGCAATGTTTCTCTTCTTCCACATGGAGGATTGCATGTCTGAGCACTTCCCTATGGGAAAAGTTCCTTTCATGAAGAAAGCTGGCATGTCAAAAAGGGTTCTGCTTAGTTTTCTCCCTAACACGCTAGTTTTCCATGTGAAGAGTGTTTTATTTCATTATATGTATCTAGTGGGCTTATAGCCAACTCGATCTCCAGGGCACAGGGTTGGTAACAGGATACTCTTTATACTTCCCTATGAATCCTTATTCCTCTCCATTCAAATGTACAACCACCTGAAGAGTCTAGTAGGGTAATCCAGGAAATGTTTTCCCACTTGATCCTGCCGAATGTATAAATTCGCCCATGGAATCTTCATGGGGGCAATGCAGGAAGTACCTTGCTGGTCTGATTTGCATGGAATATAATGGTTTCATTTCCTTGATTTCAGCATCTCTCTCTTTTATTATTGAGATACGGCATTACGGTTTGTAATACGTTTAAATGCCGAAACTTATGCCTGGGGTATTTTATTTTCTTACAGTTCGTTTTCTGAATAAATTATAGAATTGTTTGCGCTTAGTAAGTAGAGCCTGCCCCACCGAGCTAAAATTGAATTTTCCTTTCTTTGCTGGGTTAGCATTATATTATTTCATTTCAGTAGTGGCTGATTCTTTATAGCTATAGAATGTAGCCAAGCGCTGCCTTTTTTCTTCTTTTTTTTCCAGTGTAGCTTGTTCCAACCGTGTTGCATCGTTTCCATGTCACGGGGACCAGTCATTCAGGCCGTCTCCAACCTAACTTTTTAAAGTCTTTTCATTCTAAGCCAGAAAAAAACTTGAGCCGTAATTGCAAATTAGTTTCAGACCTCTTTATGGAGGGGGGGGATCAGCTTGAACCTGATACTTCAGCTAGCGGACAGGAACAAAGGCCTGTTTATAAAAGAGCATTCAGAAGGAGGGCAGTTACCTTTAAGGGGGGGGGGGGACACACACTTTTATGAATTTATGTATGCACTGGATGTGCCAGTATGGTTTCTTTGATAGACAGGTGACAAATCACTCCAAAGCAGAACTGTAAAGCTGTTTTATCTGAAGTGCTTAGGAAGGGGAAAGACAATGACAGTCAGTCTCCATAGTTACCATTCCATTTTTACCATACCTTGTTAATACTCTGGTTTTTTTTTAATTATTCAAGTAATAAAGCAGGCAAATCACAGAGGAAAAGATTGATTTCCCCTCATGTATCCTCCCTCAGAATCCTGGTAAGCTATCATGTGGATCAATTTTCTGTCCAACTAGGATCTATTGATCGATGGCTCGAGAACGTGAGGCAATTTCTGTCCTTGAGTCGTCAGTGCATTCAAGGTTGTTCATTTGTTTGTCTATGCCAAGCTTTCCACTTCAATCGGGACCCAAAGCGGCTTACAACATCATTCTCCCTCTACCTCATCCCCTTGTGGAGAAAGCCAAGACTTCACTGAAGCTTGGGCTCAGCTGTAGAACATAGAAGCGGGGGCCTGGTTCACAAGAACCCTCCAACGTTTGGTTGGGCTGCCATTTTTTGTTCTAAAAAGTGAAGTGCACTGTGCTGCTTCAGCATTTTAGAGGTGTTAGCCCTCCTTTTAATCTTTTGTGGACTTCAAGGAATGACAATCTCTGTTTTATCCCATGATAAAATAGCATCGATAGTGCACAGTGGTGTCTTTGTACTACCAACTTCACAATATGCACTGTCAGTAACAGCCCATCCCATCAAACAGATTCTGCCTTCCCCACTCCCCACCCCACTGGGAGCAGGGCCCAAATCAAACTGGAAACCAAGGGGGCGTGTGTAATAAGAACATAAGAGACGCCAATGTTGGATCAGGCCAAAGGCCCATCCAGTCCAACACTCTGTCACACAGTGGCCAGAAATACCAGTGCCATCAGGAGGTCCAGCAGTGGGGCCAGGACATTAGAAGCCCTCCCACTGTTGACCCCCCCCCCAAGCACCAAGAAGACAGAGCATCACTGGCCCCAGAGTCCCTATCTATACCTTGTGGCTAATAGCCTCTGCTCCATATGCTTATCTAATTCTGTTTTGAAGCCGTCCATGCTTGTAGCCACCACCACTTCCTGTGGCAGTGAATTCCATGTGTTAATCACTCTTTGGGTGATTTTCTCTCTCTGCTCATTCCCACACTCAGCATCCAAATCCTGCCCTGAAACAAAAGCCAACAGGCACGGACGGTGGCACCACATCTTCAGGAACTTACATGCCCACATTTTGGATATTGAGTCACAATGCAGAAGAGTTTTTCTGGAGTACCACCAGTGTAAGTATTCAGCCTAGATCCATGCTTCATGTGCAGTAGCATTGAGACCATCAGCACTTGGCAAGAGAACAGTGCTCATGTTCCAGCCCTTTATGAAGTCCCGTGTGCGATTCAGAAACTGTGCGTGAAACCTCTTTTCTTCTGGTCCAGAGTAAAGCTGAAAGAGAGTGCGGGGCTGTACCCCGTGGCAAGTACAAGATCTTAGGGGCCATGGCAGGGATCTCCTATGACAGTGCCACTAAAAAGGTACAGTGAGGGCAAACGGCCATTTGAGAGGCAGGCGGCTTTACAGGGGAGTTGCGAAGGTCTGTTCGTACGGCAACATCTGTGATTAGAGGAAGGCTCCGTCTCTTAAGAGTAGACAAACAGTGATCACCTATATGTGAAATCACAGACTGTTGTGGAGGAGATACAAAGTGAACTGGGACTGTGGCTCTGAATAGCTTTACCATTTCCCCACCAGGATTAACCCCTCCCCTAGTTGCTTTTACCCACGAAGACGGGTTCCTGTACTGTACCTATCCCTGCCCACCACAACTCAGAATGCAAATTCTGTTGGGAGAAATTACATACATATGTGCCGTCAAGTCGCAACCTAACATATGGCAACTCTATCAAGGGGCTTTCAGGACAAGTGAGAAGCAGAGGTGGTTTGCCATCGCCTTCCTCTGCAGTCCGTCATCCAAGTACCAACCTGGCTTCACTTCCAAGATCTGACAAGATCTGTGGTGCCTTCCCTCCTGAATTGGAGATTTGGCAAAAGGTGTCTGCCTGACACCTGTCTGACAGCCGATTACCGTTCCCCCCCCCCCATGAGTGCTTTTCAGCTTGAATGAAAACTGCAAGAGACCCACAAAGTTTCACCTACATGATAATGTGCAATTTTGGCCCTGTAAGCAGGCATTTACCCATATAATTTTATATTTTAAGTTCCCTTTATTTGTTTAATAACTTTAGAGTGATTTTGATGGTTTTGGAGGCAAAACAACTGCTTGCCCCCTAACCCCTTCCTCATCTTTTTGAAAACCTGGAAATAAATAATCACAACCAGAAAATCCTTCTGTTATATTTAATGCTGAAACAATGGAGAAGTTGTGTTCCACATAAAGAGCTGCTATCAAGTAAAAAATAAATAAGTTAACATCTTAAGGGGGAAAGCACAGGCGAGTTCTGTTTTGTTTTTTAAAGTGCATTGGTATCAGGCTCATAGCCCTTGAAACTCAAATCCTGTCGATTCTGTGAACCAAGTCTGACCATTCAGATTCCGAAAACACAGCTAAAACCACCAGACTTAACGCCAACAGCGAAAGATCCCACATGCTTTCACTGGAAAACAGTTCAGCCAAGAAAGATCAGCCTCACAGACCACAGCAAACAATCTTACTGGACTGAGATAAGAGAAAATCACATCTGTGCCCAGAGCAACTAAGTGAGGATTTACAATAACCATCAGTCAATCCAAATCAAAAACGTATCTGAAAAGCCACAACGTTTTCATCATATTATCAGTCTCTGGAGAGTGATCAAGACAACACTATCTTAGATAATCACACTCTAAACAATATTTGTAGTACAAAACATCTGCAGTCATACAGTCAATAATGCCCATTTTGTTTTACACTGATGTTTCATTTGGCAAAAACAGTGTGACATTTTGTGCTGAACAGCAAGTTAAAAAAGCAACTTAAGGCTCTGGTGAGCACTAGGGGGAGTCAACCTTCATCCAATATCAAAGACAATAACACAGTGATGTAAAAACACAACTTGTTTTCCACTGAGATGGCAGCCAGAGAATCTCTTCTCCGCTCCACCCTCTGCAGTTTCAAGTGAAAGGATAATACATTGTTCATAATTATCCAAATTCTACCACAAAGCATGAAAATGTCCATTCAGTCAAAAAGTTCTATTTTTCAATGTGAAAATCCATGTTCTACCAGCTCTTCAGGAGCTTATTTGGGCTTCAGTGTTTTCCCTCCACTGCACAACATTTTTATGTTGACAGCTGTTCAAACAACATCTGGACACTCTCCTTTGCCTTTGCGGGACACCATAGTGCCATAGACTTAACATTCCCAGACAGGAACTGTAGGAGTGTGCATTGGGAGGGGGAAACCCCACCCATTTAGTCTGATCTTTCAGACGGAAGTGACAGTTCTCACTTTAGCGGATAAGGCTTGCTTAAACCTTCTCTTCAGGTCCTGCATGTTGGGTGACTTTGGTCTTGGAATGAGAGAGGTTCTCCTCTTCTCTGGGGTGCTGACATACGGTTGCTTGCAGACACCTTTACACAGGCTATGAAAAGCACTGAAGACCTCCTTGTAGTTCTCGCTGACGGACACTTCATAGAAAGTACAGCCCAACATGCTGGCCAGCTGGAGTCCGTGTTGGGGTTCTACCTCTTTAACATGGAGGAGGTCGGCTTTGTTGGCGATGACCACCACGGGCACTTTGTTCCCGGGGTGCAGCTGCCGTATGTGCTGGTGGAAGTGACTGAGCAGTTCGTAACTTTTGTAGTCTGTGATCGAAAAGACTATCACCACGGCATCCGCCCACCGAATGCATCTGTTCAGCTGTTCGTTACAGTCCAGGCTGTGTCCGTGGATCTGAAAAAGGGGGATTGTGGGTAAGTTATACGGTTGCAGAGGAAGAACTCAAAGCAAGTAGCTTGCAAGCTGCAAACTTTATGGGATGGCAGGGACACAGCGTTCCTGAAACCTTCATTCATGTCCCTTTCATAACGTTTGTTGATCCAGCTGCAGGAGGGGGAAGAAAACCTACACTGTTTTGAAATTTGCCATATTCAACTGACCTGAGAAGTACTGTATTGGGGGGGGGGAGAGACTTTGTGGTGCCACAGAATGGGAAATTAACTGGCTAGACAGCTCGTCTGGGGAGGGGTGGGGGGGAGCAAAGATATGAGCTGGAAGCATTTAGAGTTGGAGAGCTGCCCAGTTCAAAAAGGCAAAAATTGACCTTATTCGTGGCTATACATTCAAACTTTCCGTAACAGATTAACTCCTAGCAAATTTTAACAAACTGGGCTGCCAGTTCTGTGACTTTTTTTAGTTTCTATTGTGTGTGTCTATGAAACTAACGTTTATTACGCTGTAGCAATAAAATTTCTCTCTAGATTTCCAACACACTTTGCTAGCACAATAAAAACCAAGTGTTCCTGCATCTGCCAAGGGACTGTTCTGAACACATTAGCCAGTAGATCTCTGTATATAAGAAAACCAGCCCTCCCAAACAAGCCTTCTGTGTCTTGAAGTGGACAAAACTTTCATTGAAAGAGTGGGTTGTTTTCTTTTACTGTCAGGGGACTATACACAGAGCATATATCACGGTCTGACTGTTTATAACACAAATGACTACCTCTCCTGCTCTTAGCACCAAAATGGGCGGGGGGGGGGAGGGTTCACCTCTGCTGCAGTCCGAGGCGCAGTTACTTTGGGCTGGATCCAGCCAACTTTTTCACTCAATTTCCCCCCAGTTCCCCTTTTTTAACACCCCGTTTCACATGGTTATTGTCCATGCAAGTCCCATGATTTCCAGCATAGCCTTTTTGGTGCTGTCGAGAGACCCTTCCTTCCATATTCACCAGTGGAAAAACTGATAGGACCCAGCCACATGGGTGCAAGGTCCAGTGCCTTTAGTGTGACTTCTCAGTAAACACGTATGGGAGCATGCTGCCATAAGAAGTACCCCAAAAAACGAAGCAGCATTTCAAACTGCGGGAGGCTCAACTCACCTGGACGCCTGGCGTATCTTGGACTTGGATCGCAAGCATCTCTCCGTCAATTTCAATTTGCCTGCTGTACAGATTACCTAGCAACGGGAATAAATTTTGTTACTCTAAATTCACAGATGAGCAGCTGTAACACGCACAATAGCTGTTAAGCGTAAATGCATTAACCTCCCACATATAGGACCGAATTAGCAACACAGATAACAGGGCCAAGACAAGAGTGGTTTATGTAGGCCTGCTTGTGAATTTTAATTGTATAAGCAACTTGGTAGTAACTTTGGGAGCAAAAGGGTTTTATGAGCTGTCTGGGACCCTTTTTACAGGAGATCTAGGTACGCTCCAGCCATAGTTAAAGCACTTGTGAGTTCAATTACTCCAATGCCAGGGTTAAGCATATGTTTAACTCTCCTATTCAAATAAATGAGTTGGATTGATTCAGGTTCTCTACTAGTGAAAAGGGGAGGAGGGGAGACTCCTTTGACCACAAAAAAGGGCTGTGCTAGGAATCATGGGGCTCGCATGGGCAAAACCCACGTGGGAGAGGGGTTGTAGTAAGGAAGAAAATGGGATGCTATTAAGTGAAAAAGCTGGTTGGATCCAACTCAATGGCACAATTTGGCTGGAACAGTCTCCATTCTTCTCCATTTTCTTCACCATGATGGCCTCTGCTTAAAAGTTCCCTGCTAGCTGACCTGATGGTTTTAAGATACCAAAGGGGCATATGCTAACCTGTTCCTATCTGAAGCAGAAGGGCTTCTGGGGAAGCAATTTCTAGACAGTGGACATTTTTCTCAGGTCATTTGACCTACACAGGCCTGCTCAGTTTCTCTTAAATTGGACATGGGTTAAAAATAAACTTTACAGTCGCGTGATAGAAGGGGGGAGGGATGGCACTAGAGGTGGTCCTACGGCTCTGTGGTAAAGCATCTACTTTGCATGGAGGCGATTCCAAGTTCAGTCCCTGGCATCTCCACTGAAAAGGATCAATTAGTAGGTGATGTGAAAGCCCTCTACCTGAGACCTTGGATAGCTGCTGCTACTCAGACAGTCCTGGCCTTGATAAGACTCAGTATAAGGAACCTTCATGTGTCCAGGACATTTTCATCTAAGAGATTTTTAAAAGTGTGTATGACTGATTCCAGGTTATTTTTGATTATCTGCTAATCTGCTGAAACTGGAAGTACATGCTTACTACTGCACAGAGGAACTCCCTCCCCTAGTATACTTAAGCAGACTTGCATACATTCACATACATTTGCAGGAGTGGCCCATGCACTGAACAGAACCAGAAAATCTCTCTTCCTTGGGTACAGACTGTTTTGGAAGCTGATCTACAGGGTATCGGAGGGGGGGGGGGGGCTTTGACTCTCTTGTTTTTCCTGGCGCACAACAAAGCACTCTGGATTTAAATCCAAATTCGTTTATACAGCTAGTCCTGACCACATATAAAGACAGGAGTGAAACTAGATTACAGGGCTTAAAACCGGAACCACTCAACTAGAATTAATCGTATTGTATGGGGCCGGGATAGAAAGATGTGTGCCAGGATGGAAAATGAGGGAAAGACTTTAAAAGTCCAAGAATGCACGGGAGCCGACTCCCTGCTTTGGCCAAGATGAGAATGAAAATGACAGAATGGCTTTGCCCTGTCAAGGCTGCCCTGGTTAAAATGAGGCAGCACGCGATTTCTTTTTGTTCTCTCGAGAACATGATGAATAGACCCCCTAATGCTGCGCGTTCCCTGGCAGACACTGAGACAGTGAGAGCAAGTCTTCCAAGCCCAGTCCTATTGTACGGTTTAGTTTTTCAGAGAGTGAAAAGAGCAAACCGCTCATTGGTCAGACCACAACACAATACCAACCTGTGAGCACAAAAGTATGGAAGTTAACGTGCCAGCGCTTACCTGCATTGCGCTCGTAGTCCCCGATGAATCGCTTTGTGAGAAATCTCACCACCAGAGCTGTGAAGAACAGAGAAGGGGGCCAGATTTAACATCAAGAGTACCATTTGGCACTGAAGGTTTTACCAAGCCTGTCCCCACAGCCGAGCATGGAAAACGGAGGGTATCAATTTCTAACACTGCACCGTGCACGACAGCCACAACTAACGGATCAAACTCCAGTGTGAGGCTGCAATCCTAAGCATATTGACTAGGAAGGGCCTTGCACTCTGCCTTGCGGAGCTTAAGTTTCAGGCTATAGAACGGAAGCCCCCTCCCCACAATTCCTTTCTTCCAAAGGAGGGATGACAGACCTTTCAGCATGTTTCTAGGCAGGCTCCCCTTTCAACTCTCAAATCCAAGGAACATGCAAAGGGGTGCTTCGGCACAGACCCCCGTGCACAGGACTGGGGATGGATGCCCGAGGAATGGCAAGCCACTGTCCCTCTCGTGGCTCTTCAGTCTCCATTCCCAGTCCGGCAAGTTTCTCTCTTTGAAAGACAAGCTCTTACTTGGTCCGTAGCAGCCCTCTTAACCGGGCAGAGTTGCTCCAGTCTGAGTTGAGGGGTGATGGGCTCGGAGGGGGGCAACTCTGGCGTCGCTGGGTCCCGCAGCCCCTCCCTGACCGCCAGGGCCTGCCCATTCGCCCCATGATGCCTCTGCAGCGACCCCCATCCCAACTCCCCGCTTGGGGACCGAATCGCCGACACGACGGGGCTGGAAGGCGTGGGGGGGGTGAGGAGCGGAGGGTCGGTCCCCAGTCTGGCTTCCCTTCCCTGCCGTTGCCCAGGAGGGCGCAGACCCCCGTCCAGGTGATTCC